ATCCCTCACCTCCTTCCGGTTGAGCCTGCACTGGCTTTTCTCTCATCAGACCCTGCTAAGATCATTCTCAAAACATTCTCAAAACAATCATGGACTATGTGACCTTTGTGGTCTTCTCCAACTCTATGATCCAGCACCCTTCTGCAAGTTTAGTTGCCCTATAGCTGCTGACCTCTACCATCTCTGCACTTTTCAACAATCCCCCTTCCTTCATTCTCCCACCTGCGTAGGATATAGATGCATCCATTACGGCAAGCCACCGTGAGTCGGTATTCCACATCAAACTGCCCAGTGACATCCAGGAATGCTGGCACACTCGGCACCGTCATCTGGGATGTGAAAGTAAGATATAAACGCTGAAATTAGACTCTAACCCCAAAACTCCAGCACAAAATAAGTGGAAATTTTGAATGAGTTTCTGCCAATAAATTGAAGCGTTCACTAGTTGGCAGAGGAAGTTCCCGGCAAGTCTGCCACCCAGTTTCCTGAATGTAAGACATAGTTCTTTATTTATTTAAAACTAATTATTATTATTGTTATTATTGTTTATTTTATTTACAACATTTACATGCCGCCCTTCTCAGCCCAAAGGGGACTCAGAGTGACTTACAAGATAAATATACATACAACATATTATATTATTAGAATAGTACAATATCAGTATTAATTAATTAATTAATTAATTAAAACATTTATATTCCACCCTTCTCACCCCGAAGGGGACTCAGGGCGGAGCACAGCATATATACGGCAAACATTTAATGCTGGGACACAAATTCTTATATACATACATAAACATTAAAAACATTTATCAAAATATTAAAATACAGTCATCCGCGTCAAATCTAATTGGCCTGGTCATCTTTCCTATTGCTGTTTTATTGCCCTGTCCCGAAACCTTGGTCCCACAGCCAAGTTTTTACCATCCTTCTAAAGGACAGGAGGGAGGGGGCTGACCTGATCTCACCAGGAAGGGAGTTCCATAGCCGGGGAACAACCACCGAGAAGGCCCTGTCTCTCATCTCCACCAATCATGCCTGTGACAATGGCGGGATGGAAAGCAGGGCCTCCCCGAAGGATCTTAATCTCCACGATGGTTCATAGGGGGAGATGTGTTCGGACAGGTAATTTGGGCCAAGGCCGTTTAGGGTTTTTTAGGCCAAAGCCAGCACTTTGAATTGTGCCTGGTAGCAAACTGACAGCCAGTGGAGCTGGCGTAACATGGGAGTTGTGTGCTCCCTGTGTTGCGCCCCAGTTATTAACCTGGCTGCCTCTCGTTGGACTATTTGAAGCTTCCAAGCAGTCTTCAAAGCCAACCCCATGTAGAGCGCGTTGCAGTAGTCTATCCTAGATGTAACGAGAGCGTGGACCACCGTGGCCAAGTAAGAGGTAACCTTTCCAGACTGGAATATATGAGAACAGCAAGCTCACCTTTGCCAGGATGGTAAAAGCTTCAGGGTCCAAGATTAGGATTTCGTTGTTTTCCGTTCCAATCACCAAGCAACTGACAGCATCCTCATCCACCATGTTCTTCTTCAGGGTAGCCATGCAGGTGATCACAGTCTGAAAGACAGATACCAAGGTGCTTGTTTATAAAGCTATTGTCCTCCCAACCCTGCGAGACATGGACAGTCTACAGACGTCACATGCAACTCCTGGAACAATTCCATCAGCACTGCCTCTGGAAAATCCTGCAAATGTCTTGGGAAGACAAGCAGACAAATGTCAGCATGCTGGGAGAAGCAAGGACCACCAGCACTGAAGCAATGGTCCTCCGCCATCAACTCTGCTGGACCGGCCACATTGCCCGGATTCCCGACCACTGTCTCCCAAAGCAGTTGCTCTACTCTGAACTCAAGAACGGAAAATGGGATGTTGGTGGGCAGGAAAAGAGATT